CTCAAAATAAACATAGGAAAACATCCAGGTCAAAAATGAACAAATTAAACTTACATAAATACAGATTAAGCCAGTAATAAACTTCACTTCATACTTTTTTTTGTACATTACTATATGTTAAGGAGGCAAACTTGTATCCTAATTACGGTAAGTTGCATTTCCTATATAGTTCTGGTCAAGCATAGGGTACGATATACGCCACATGTAGACAAACTACGGCACAATTGCAAACGCTCATAGCATACTTTTAAGTAATTATGTCTGTCTGTGTTCCGCTGGGTATTCGACTATTAGTATCTTACAGTTTATCATTTTACAAGTTCGAGTCAAAGAGATTCGAGGGTTAAGAGGTAGATTTATTTATTTATTTATTTATTTATTGAAACACTTTAACGTGGCTGACCAGTACCTTTCCAACATTCCAGTTGGATAGCTTGTTCTTAAGCGTGTCACGTCACCGCTCCTCCCCGCCCCACCCATGTCCTATACACCTACCTCCAGTGTCAACTCAACAAACTTGGGGACAATACCGATCACTTTACATTATTTTCTTACCGATTGAAACGCGTTCGTTCGTTACTAATGCTAAGTACACTATGAAAGCGTTGTTCCGTTATACACATTTGCTAATGAGGGTCCATTACCTAGACGCGGAGATAGATTTAGCGTGTCCGGATTCTCGGGGCTTACCCATCGAACAGGTACAATTTAAAGTTGTGTATTTTCACATTTTTATCTTTGAATGAAGTGATGAATAATTGATAAGGTTCGATTGAGTGGTGATTGACATTACGCGATTGACGTGCTTTTTTTTTAGAAGACAAGGTGTCGTCTGCTGTCTAAATTTTCTGCTCAAAGCTTTGATTTTCTTTGAGAAACTAGGCCATTTGATGAGTTGAATTTTGAACTACTAAAAGTGTACGTCTTATGTAGGGTCAAAGTTCAAATATAATACAACAGAAAAAGAATTTGAATTCAAAGGTACAACGAAGCAACCCCCCCCCCCTTCAGTCCAGTGGCACCCTCGCATGCCTTGCNACTTTAACGTGGCTGACCAGTACCTTTCCAACATTCCAGTTGGATAGCTTGTTCTTAAGCGTGTCACGTCACCGCTCCTCCCCGCCCCACCCATGTCCTATACACCTACCTCCAGTGTCAACTCAACAAACTTGGGGACAATACCGATCACTTTACATTATTTTCTTACCGATTGAAACGCGTTCGTTCGTTACTAATGCTAAGTACACTATGAAAGCGTTGTTCCGTTATACACATTTGCTAATGAGGGTCCATTACCTAGACGCGGAGATAGATTTAGCGTGTCCGGATTCTCGGGGCTTACCCATCGAACAGGTACAATTTAAAGTTGTGTATTTTCACAGATTTATCTTTGAATGAAGTGATGAATAATTGATAAGGTTCGATTGAGTGGTGATTGACATTACGCGATTCACGTGCTTTTTTTTCTTTTTCTTTTTTTTTTTTTTTTGAAGACAAGATGTCGTCTGCTGTCTACATTTTCTGCTCAAAGCTTTGATTTTCTTTGAGAAAATAGGCCATTTGATCAGATGAAATTTGAACTTCTTAAGTGTACGTCTTATGAAAGGTCAAAGTTCAAATATAATACAATAATAGAAAAAGAATTTGAATTCAAAGGTAGAACGAAACAGCCCCCCTCCCCTCTTCAATTCAGTGACACCCATGCAGGGCAAGCGGTGTGATGTATGTACATGTACATTGTTAGCGTCACTCAGCCTCTTAAGTGTTACCACTCATATATGTCTAAATTAAGAGGCATGTGGACAAGTGGAACGCGATACTTGGTGGCGTCCAGTACTCGAGCACTTGACTACTTGAGGAAGCAAACGGCAGCAGAGTGACCAACATGATGGCGGACACTTATTGGGCTGAAAAAAGCGTGTGGTTTGGTGGGTGGATTTGAGATATTGGGCAAAAGAATTGTAGTTGTTCTTGGATAAAGTTGCGTGTTTTTATCCATGTTTCTTGAAATTGTATCAGTGTGTAGCTACATCTTGTGGGAATGTTGATGATAAAAAAAATGCATTGCCCGTACACTGCTGAGGAAGACAGTGGTTTCATCTCATTTTATTAACATCAGAATTGTAAGAATGGTAAGCTTCTTATCACGCAGTTAGAAGGAAGCGAGGGTGGGCGTTATTTCCCGCCTAAAATTCACAGACGCTGATCACCCTAGCTTGTTGACACATACAGTCAATGTATTTAATGGGGGGATATACATGCACATGTAATCAATATACTCACCTTTTCTTGCAATAATAATGTTCGAATATGCATGCTCACAAAATTGCGTTATTGTTTTCATTTCAAATTGACTAAATTGTCGAATATTATTAGCATGTTTATAGAATAAGCTAGGTTGAAACTGGATGTCCGAGTTTGTTTGCGTTCCGAAATGTAGCTACACAAACATGAGTTTCATAAGCAAATGTAATCAACTTGTCTCAGTTTGGTCACGGCGTTATAATTAGGTATAAGCACAAGACAAGAAGTTAGATATGCTCGAAAAGGACCCCAAATTCGACGGGAGAACATTGTATATTTTTTGTGTGGATGGGGATATTGTAGAGCATTTAACACTCAAAGCTTTATAATGAATTTTATAAAAGCATTGAACCTATAATGATATTTCAAAAAGGGAAGTATGTTAGTTAGTTTTCTAGTTAGTTAGTTAGTTAGTTGGTTAGTTAGTTAGTTAATAGTTAGTAGGTTAGAAAGTTAGCTAGTTATTTAGATGAATATCCGCGCCAGACCATCTGTATTTTGGCAGCCAGAAGATTCCCAGAACTGATGAAAACGAGAACGTATTTCATCTGAAGGGCAGAACTTTCTAGAATATGGAGACAATCAGGGTCATCTTGACCCAAGTCCGGCGATGAAGAGAGCATTCTTGGACAGTGTATAATAGCCAACTGTCATGGAGTTGCTCTCTTTACCGACTGTGGCTAATGACGTCACACCAAATAGTTGTCACCGAAACCGCCAATCGCCATAAGAAAAACTAAAGGTAAGGTACAGAGATTTTTCATTATTTTTCAAAAGCGTATACATATATCAGCATACAGAGGCAAGACAGCACTACTGGTACTAATGGCATAACAATATGACAATAAAGAAGTCCCTTGACATAGACATTAAATATAACCTGCACATTATTTAATGTGCCACACATGCAACAGAGAGAGAGAGAGAGAGAGAGAGAGTGAGAGAGATTATTTGTTTTTTCTTGAAATGCCGTATTAAGTAATGCCCAGCTTGCAAAAAAATCAATTTTATTCCAGGATAAATCTGTAGTAGTAGACTAAAAAATAAAGTAACTATAACATTAGCCACTTTTGTTAAAAGAGTCGCGACATTCTCAGTAAAGTCGACTACAGCCTAAATTAATCAGACCCAAAAATTCGGGTTTTTAAAAACGTCTAGGCCAGCCAAAGCTCTTCGTGAAACCGTCCCCAGCATCAACGCTGTAGGTAGGTAATAATACCGCACGGCTAATTCACTCTTCATTCAACCACCTGTTTGCTCAGCAAGCCGCCGGCTTTACACATAATGCGTTATTTGCTCCTGTGTAAAGCCAGTGCATAGAAAACCCTACTAATATGTTGGGCTGCATTTGCCGCCTTATTGGTCGAAGTGAATTGACCAACGCCATAACGTTGATTCTCATAGACAATTGAATTGTACTGGAAAGGGGGGGTTGGTCTGTAAAAATAAATATATATAACACTGTAAAGACCACACACATAGAGGGGGTGAATTTAGTATGACCAAGCGTATGTTTGCTTATATTAAGGCGTTCAGAATGATGAAGCTCTACCTGTAAGACTGTGCCTGAAAATTAGCTTCATATTGTAAGGATGTCACCTGGATCCATTTATTTTATATTTTCTTTGTTCGACAATTTAAATTAGCACCGAATTTTAGATGGATATAAATAATCTTTCTTCTATGTGTATATATAAAACTGTGTTGGTATATTATATGACATATGCATGATTTATATAGATGCATATCGTTTAGGATTTACCAAAACGTAAAGCAGTTTTCTCCAGACGAAATGAACCTTAAGAGATAAAATAGTTGGGAAATGAGGCAGGCTGGGCGCCATTTACAGTACATGTATATGTAACAAATGGGGTTTTCCACCCTGAAGATTTTGATTCCTTATTATTTTTTTAATCTTTAACATTATCCTTAGGGACCAGTTCGCCCTGTCACTATCTTTACGAAGTACTGGTGCAAATGTATGATTGTCTACCTTTTCGCGCCCGATGCAGTTTTTCATTTATAATTTATTCATCGGGTATTGTAGACTTTTTTTAAAGCGAAATCCAGTCTGCGAACTGAAGTCTTGAATTTTGTTTGTATACAGTCAATGATTTACAGAGAGGTTCGATGCTTCTTTTCTTTTTTATCTTTGAATTGAAAACTTTCGCATTCTCCTTTTATTGAGGCGCTGCCCGGTTGCTACCTGAAAAGGAAACTGGTTTCTTTGTACCATTTCCTTTAAAATCATTTTAAAATAATAGTGTTAGAATGATCAATATTAAGGACACTAGAAAGAGATCGATGAAGTAATGCAAGTTTATAATGCAAACACACTTAATCAATTTTGGGTCTATATATGGTGAGCATATATCAGTGCATTCACTTTTCTATGCAACGTTTGTTCTACCAGATTATAGTGAATACCCATCCACACTCTATTAGTTCTCTTTATAACAAACTGTACTTTTTTTTAACTATGATAAGACCAAAAGCAACAAATATGATTAATCATAAATACATATGTAAAATAATCATAGAGTAAAATAAAAGAAAGAAAATAAAATTTGTATTTTTGAGATGGCAATGCTATACCCAAAGTACCAGGTTTGATAACCAATTATTGCATTTATTTCATTTTTTCAAAATAACCTTAATACAAAAGCAAAAAAAAAAAAATTAAAATCAAATGAATAAATGAATGAAGATCATAAGAACTACATACCCCATATTCACACTGAAACATGCCCTTTGTGTTCACAAACAGCCTTTTCAGAATTTTAATTTTTTTAAAAATGTAGAAAACAAGATGTCCATCTTTTATGCTTGATCAGTGTACCTAGAAAATGTCATGGAATTGTTGCTGTACTTGATTTTATTCAGTTGATCTGACAGTCCTACATTAATCCAAGCCAGTAAAAAATTATCCCAGTCCATAACTACACAATGTCCATGTGTCACGTCTTCTTGGCAGCTTGTAATGTCTTGAACAATTGTCTCAGTTGTTTCTTCCTGTCCATGTGACATCCTGGAAAATGAAGTGATACTGCTGGGTAACTTTAAGGCATAATAAAACCAGTTGCATGTTACGAAACACCTCTCAAATGACTGGTTATTGACAACAGACACCAATTCACAATCAAGCACTTAAAAGTAGCTGATAATCTTGCCGCATACAAGAATGTTTTTCACTGGACTACACAATTAGTACCCAAATGTGCAGTAAAATTTCAAATCAATTTTCTCATGTACCATAAAGCAGAGACGTTTTTCCTCATCATTTTATTTTATAAGACTAGTCCTGGTATCCAGGCTATCACTATTTTTCACTAAAAAATTAAAGAAAAATCCACGTTACCTAAGAAAGAGTTGGTGGTATAGGTAGTTGCATTCATGCAGTCTATCCCGCCTTCGTCCCCCATCACAGGACCATCGTCCCAGATAAGGTCCCATGCTCCTACATGTTTTTCCTTCCCTGTTAGTCTGGAACACAGAAGAATGGAAGAAACAAAAGTAATCTTAATAACAGAAGTATAAAACAAACCAAGGTCTGAAGCTAATAGTTCCTGCAGTGGAAATTGTCCATCATTTCCAAATGTTAGAAGATGGCGAAGAGGATTAATTCTACAAACTATAATATATAGACTTGCATAGCTGGGCCACAGGTAACAATTAAGCAAAGTCATATTCTACTAAAACTCTGTTACAAGAAAAATATGCAGGGTAATTCTATGGTATATACTGGCCAGTTGGAATTGTTTAACCATGCCATCCAGTTCATGCCTGTTTTCAAGGTCGCTAACATTGAACACACCATCTAGTATGACACTTACCTGTTTTCCAAGTCTATAACATTGAACACACCATCTAGTATAACACTTACCTGTTTTCCAAGTCTATAACATTGAGCACATCATCCAGTAGTCCACACTTTAATTCATAATCCTCTTTACTGCTAGCTGTAAGTGATGGAGATGCATTGATTTCTAAAAGCCAGCTGAAATGAACAATTATAAAATTTAAGTATGAATATGACTTTTTTAAAAACATTTAACGTACTATTCAAATATATCACATTTCAAAATGACCTTTTAAAACTGAACACAAGGTTTTTGCCTATTTAGAGACAATCATTCAAATAAGATGATTACATGTATCATAGAACACATTTTTGACAGCACTCTGAAAAAAAATGCTGCTTTAATTTTTATCATTTATATTTAGGCGATGCAATATCAACTATATGACAACATTAGTACATGCATGTTACAATGTACTTACGGTTTCAAGTTGGTATCTAAGAGGATGTCATAGCCATACATTTCAAAGCAGCGCTTGTCATTAATCATAATTTTCTGCACACTCTGTAATGTCTTTATAAAGATGTCATCCATCTGTGTGAACATTTTGGCAACCTAGAGAAGAAAAAGAAACAAGAATCAATATTTTTGAAAAAAATTTTCAGAATTTTCATGCTTTCTCATTGCAGCAAGTCTATTCAACACACAGACATTTTTAATTTTAACAATATAGGAAATCCTTGTCCCCAAGTTTGTTTTTTTTTTATTTTTATTTTTAACTTTGTCTGCACCGCACTTAACATGCTGTGAACATAACTGAACAATTAGAAAACAAAAACTATGCAAAGATTTCACTCACTGCCTCCATGCCATGTTTTGCTGTGAGATATCTGCGAAGTTGCTGCATTGACCACTTGTTTCCTTTCTCCGGGTCATAGTCCGGAGCAGTTTTCTGGACAGCTACATTGGTCAGATGGACATCTGGACACAGGAGTGGAGGAGAAACTTTGTGGACAATTTTTTGGAATAACATATACAGATAAGCCATGTCTTAATTGTGAAATCTAGCATCTTATCATTTTCTCAAAAAAGTCCCCAAGACATAAATATCAACATAACTATATCATGTACTGTATGGTCATTGTCACCTGATAATGAACTCTAAAATTCTCTTAAAATACTATGAGTAACTTCCAGGTTACATTTCTCTTTCAACATATTAGTCTGATTCAATGCTTTTTCATGAGAGATATTTAAAAGCTCTCATGCCAACTGCTACAAATTTGAGCAATCTGTTTTATTCAACAGTGTAAAAATAACTGAAGCAATATCTTTTTTCCTTTCACACAAAGGATACAAGTATCATCAATTGCATCCAGGGAGAATCTAGTATTGGAGAAGCGGGCAAATCCTCCTCGATAAAGCCATGCCTTGAGTGGGGAATACTGGAAATAACAAAAATAATTATTAACAACTACTTTCACAATGAAAATTGAAATGTTTGACAGACATGAAAATTTGCCATTTAATTATTTTTTCAAACAATACTTCCTATCATGTCACTATATATCATGTCTTCCAACTCATTTTATATTCAGTTTTGACATGGAGGGGGGGGGGGGGAGGGTTAGAAAGAACATCCTTTTTGGTCAGAAAAGGTCTGCTCTCAAAATTTGCACCAGGTTCGATGTACTGTATGCCATTTCTCAAGCTGGGTCAACTAAGCAGGTAAAAAGGACATCTCTTTAGCAAAAAGCACCCTTCTCATTTCTGGCTACAGGCATGTTATATATACATGCAAGATACCAAGAAAACTGAGCTTTATCTGAAACTCTTACCGAAGTGACAAGCACATAAACCCTGAGATCAAACTTCCTTCCTCCCACTACATAAGGGTTTTCAATGTACCTCTGGACGACATATGCCTCTGGAGCCTCTTTGTTTGGGTCAGGTTCTCTCTGGTACTCTCCCTTGTTATGAGACAGATATTACTTTATTAACAGCTTTAAGCAATGCAGAAATGCAGGAAACTTAGTGAAAAAAAACTGACAATAATGAGAACCAACCACGGATTAATAAGATTTTCCCTTTGACAATAAGTAATATAGACTGCACAGTGCAGTAGCAATAACATATGGGGAAAACAATTATAATTAATGGTAAGTAGTCAAGAATAAAGGCTTTTATATTTAAATAACTGCACAATTTAAAACTTTTAAATGTGTTACATGACAAAATTATGGTGGCCTCAGTAACTACAACAAAAATAAATAAATAAATAGAAGGATAGAATAAAAGAAAAAAGTGTACATTTTTTCAATTTTATAAATCATCTGAAAAAAGAGAATAATTTGATCTGTATGTCTGACAAGAAAAGAGATAAAAAAACTCTAATGGTTTTTAGTAGTTGGTTTGTTTTATCACTAGGAGATGCTATTTATAGGCCCACAGTACTGTTGTATATACATTTTCAGGCAATTATTTTTTACCTTTTTCCAGTCTGTTATATCTTTAAGCTTTCTGAATAAAAAGATTCCCTTTCCTTGAGATTTTGCTATTGGCTTCATAATCCATATTACTCCCGGGTTTCGTTTGAACTCTTCTACAAATATGTGATACTCAGACTGAAAAAGGAAAGTAGTCCCGATTTAAAATACCAGCCTGAGGTTTACTGGCATCAATATCCAAATTTTTCTTCATTTTTAATTTATTTATAACAAAGGTAACATTTTTCTGAATTAGACTGTTTGGATAATAAGCTATTATAAAGAGCCCATAATAAAAAAGGAAATTAAAATGAATGGTAAAGAACCAAAGGATCTATTAAGGAATGAACTCTCAATATCATGCAATTTTTGGGGAAGAGGAAATTACATAANAAAACAGATAAGTGAAAAATGGAGGTAAAGTTATAGTTGCGAATTCTATTTTTTTCTAAATCTCTGATGACAAAGTGATAAATGTAGGGCTTCATGCCTTGCTAGTATGGGGACGAAGTAACGAAGGTTTAGCATTTTCGGCAACGAAAGTTTTGAAAATGGCAATCTTTTACGGTACATTGGCATGTTATTACTACTAACAAAAGGGGTATTAAGAGATGCACGTTTATTTCACTGAAACATTTTGTCCTCAACCTCAAGTATTTTTTTCACAATGCCTGGTAAAGAAGGTTTTACAAATTACTTTCTACATGTATGAGAGTGCAGTTTTGCCGTGTTCTGTCTAAAACATTTGACTATGTCCTGTCACCATATAGACTTACTCTTGCTCATAATGGATAAAACTAATCTGTGGATTTTATAAATGGCTAAAATATTTTTTAAAAGTGATAATGATAGAGGGATTACGATGGGCAACGATGGTCGTTCACAGCTGTAGGCACTGTCGCTGCTGTTAAACCTGTAATTATGCTGTTATCTTTAAAAACAAAAGCAGTGTTTAATTACGTGTCAGGCTTCCTTCAATCTTGCTCTTGCGGATTCGAGCCGTGACGTTGTCGGTATGTGCTAAAATATTGACGAACTTTGATCTTTCGATAAGTCTCATGATTCAGAGAACAACCACACAGAAATATTCTCTAAGTGAAACTTCAGCTTTCGGATGTCCATATCTGTATGTGTGTTTAAATCGATCATTAATCATTACATATTTCACTTAAAGGATTTGCGTTTAACTCCATCTCTCGAATTTTGTAGATCCACACTGTACACTAGAGATATGCTTGAATCGATTCCCACCCTATAGACAGTATAGAAATAATCTATCAGAGGAAAAAAAGCATTTTAGAAAACCTCACCTAAATATGCAAAAATGAAGCGACAGATTTGGGTCACCTGGTACTGTGACGACATACAAGCCAAGGTTCTTTGATTTCAGCTGATACAGTGAAGTTAGGGAAGGTTGAAGGTTAAAGTGTGTTGCGCTAAAAAGGCACCAAAGGGTCTGGAATTCATATGTTTGCATTTCCAAAGAACTCAGGTTTGAAAAAAAAAGTGGGCAGATCAATCCTGTCTAGTGTCAAAAGAAACTTAACACCAACCAATTACTCGACACTTCGTTCTGACCACTTTGAAACGTTTACGAGCGGTACCTTGAGCTTTTTTCACAACTGGGTATGGAAAATGCATATAACAGGCTTAGAAGAACAAACAAGATGTCACGTACAATATTTAGTTTTACCAAGCAGCCAGAGTCCGACAACTTATTGAACGGACCGAGTTTTTTTTTTTTTTTTTTTGTTTTATTGGACTGTCGGTACAGTAACTTTTTGAGAAGCTCCAGGCATTAAACAACGGTGTATATTGCTTAAACGAAAAGGAGTCAGCTTGTCTTAACCCCTGCCGTAAGTTTAGCAGCAAACGTCCATGTTATATTTCTCGACATATGGCTCGACACAAATGTACCTACTGGCGTTATTCGCCCGCCAACGCAAGTGACTTTCTAATGTATCTACTGCGTAACGTCTTTGTCTTATAATTCAGAAAAAAGAAAAACAATTGATGAAAAAGCAACTCCCTGGCCTTTTTTCTATTTTTATTATGTCTTTTAATATACTAGTACTCTCCACGACGTACGCTCTGTGCCTAATTGTCGCTGCGCCCCATTATTTGAACAACCCTCTACTATTCAGTTTCATTATACTGGTACAGATGTTGTTTCCTAGAAAGCTGAGGCACGAATTTGCCGACTGGACGACCTTATTATCATTTCTGGTTTTAATTTGGATTAGAAGCACAAAAATTACTTTGAACAGCATGTTACACAACGCGTGACCTACTTCCAGTACGAAACTGCAGAAGTAGTGTAATCAACGATGTCTGAGCAAACTTACCGATTTAGAGGCCTTCACACGGTGCGAGAGCTAAATTTATTCACATAACAGGCTGAGATAGTTTAATCAAAATAATTCACAGACATGCCATTATTTGCAATCATGGGGCAAGTTAACGCGTTTCAATAAGGGAAACGTCATGTGACCGGTTTTCTATACAGATATATGTATGTCAGTAAATTCGACTTCATGACATATATTCCGTGTATTTTCTTGTGTGCTGTTATAAATACAAACCTATTAGCTTTATGGGCTCTGTCGTTTGCATTCGTTTATCTTTACGGGTTTGGCAAGCGACTTTTGAAATGCATATTGCTGTCTTATGCGCCTTTCAAAAGACACAACCCCGGTAGCTGTCTCCCCGACACTGAGACAGTTTGGTCGGCCTAAACATATACGAACAAGTACTCTGTGTTTGAAATGTGATTTTTGATTGGGTCAGTTTAGTTTCTGTAACCTCCCCCCGCCCCACAATCACACACGCACACAAACACAAAATGATTTTATTTGGAAAACTCCACCCTGCCTCCCGGTATTGTTAAATAAGCTCAAGTCATTCGACGCAGGATTTTACACTAGTCGAGATCACCGTAATTAAATACTAGTTAAAGAATTGATTATACGGGAACCTGGCTTCACATGGCTTTAGGAAGGGGGGGGGGGGGTAACAGATACGTTAATTACCAGAAAGCAACACCTGATCTCCAATCAGTACATTGTCTAGTGCCATTGAAATATTATCCTCATGCCAGAATGAGACAAATTATAAGCAAAATACGGGAGATAATTTATATAAACGTAATGGCAGTAATAACAGAGCAGGGTTAAAGAGAGTGCTTTAAAGTTAAGGATTAAATTTTGAAACAATAACAAAACATTCCATTATGCGGTTCGGAGGCACAAATGGTTAGCATCTCGTGCATATATAAGGAATATTCTCCACTCCACCCCTAATATGCATTGCAGTTTTACTGTTTTTTATTAATAAATGGTGGTCGTTAGAGGTATTATGATTAAATTATTGAAACGAGTTGGACGCACTTTATTCTTAGCTCAATAATTTTAAATAGACACTAAGCGCTGAGCAATTTTTCTTTTAATATCATGAAATTTCTATATGCAATATCGGCGGTAATGGATGTCGTTTTATGTGCCTATAACTTCTACTTGATATATTTGAAAACTGGGTTCAACATTTGGGTTTTATAAAAGTGATTTCGCCGAACGGTTCAAATGGGGCATACAACAAACGTTTTGGGACTGGGTTTAGCACCTATTTTTAACCGTTAAATGATGGAAGTTTCAATTTATAATTAAAATTATAATTAAAATTATTAAAACCAAAAACTGAAAATTGGAGAATTAACAAATAGCCCTTGCTTTTGCGTATTCCTACCTGTATATCTCATTCATCGAAACATGCACTACATAAATACATAGCATTATAAGACAGGAAGATATTTTTCCTATTTATAGCTGCATGAGCTACAGAATGTTGATTTTGAGATCAACAAAAATAAAATGTTGGCCAGTCTTATCCTTTTGTTATTTACTTTAACATCTTGACCCAGGTCAGCGAAACGGTGCGGCACAGTGGCACGTGGTCAGTTTGCCGAAAAACAAAACTAATGCCTTCCGCCGGTCACCAAGTGTACATAATGTACGAGTACAGAATATACATCACATAATTCTCTTAGTTATACTACTTGAAACTATATGCTGGCATTTGGTTAGTTTTTGTGACAAAAAATTGACTTTGTATGCATCTTTAAATAGAGATCTCTGCTTGAATAGATTGATTTACTGCTGTACATAAATATACATATTTACACTAAAAGCACCAATAATTGTGGAATAAAGTCAATGATAATTGTGACAGGTGTGTCACCAGTGCCATCAAAACTGTATAAAGGAATATTACATTCTCAGACTGATTTGCCCTTTTAGTAGGTAAAGGGTGAATAATAGGATTAAAAAAAAGCAAATAAATACTAACAAAAATATTCACATTGTGTTGCTGAGCTTTCTTTTTTACTGATGGCAGACACTGACTTATCAAGTTGTTCAGTTAATAACTTGGACACAAAAACTATGAAAATTGTCAATTTTCAGAATTCCACTTTATGAATGAATCTTTCAGATGTTACCATTCTGTTCTCCAAACCTCATCTTTTAGGTTGAAGGCGGGTTCCTGGAACAGAAAAGTGGAATTTTGGTTTTACTCAGAAATGATATTAAAATATATCATTTGATATAAAGAGGCACATTTTGTTCATATAGTCAATATAACCACAGGTACTGGAATAACAGTTCTGGCAATGTAGTACTTAGTCTAGATCACAAAAAAAAAAAAAAAAAAAAAAAAAAAAAAAAA